GGTAACGCCCCATCCCAGGGCTGTCAGAAAGCTTCTCGTTAACGCTGTCATAGCGCTGCCCGTTGGGCTTGGAAGCCTCGACGGTGACGATGCTGCTGTAGAGGGGCTGCTTGCCCTTCTTGCCTTTCTTGTCCTTCTTGGGCTTCTTGGCCTTGTCATGCTGCTGCGGAGTGAAGAAATCCTCGTGGTCCTTCTTGCCGGCTTCGTAGCCATGTTTGCCCTTGGAGCGGCAGTAGCGGGCCATGACCACCACCAGGATAAGGAGGATGACTGTCATGATGCCGGCCACCACACCGATGACTATGCTAAGCCGCTGCTTGCTCAGCTCATAGCTGGGGTCGCCAGCGATGTCCTGGGCCAGAGGCGTCACCTGGCTCTCCACCACGGTGGCATTGGACAGGCTCTCATTGACAAAGACATGGAGCAGGGCAGTGGTGGACTGAGGGGGCTGCCCGCTGTCATTCACCTGCACAACGAGTCGGTGCAGGCCGTAGTGCTTGGGGGCCAGCTTGCCGACCAATGACACCACGCCACTGGCCGGGTCAATCTCAAAGAGTTTAAAAGGATTGCCCCCCACGATGCTATAGTTGAGGTCGGCATTGAGACCGGTGTCAGCGTCGGTGGCGATCACTGTGGCCACCACGGTGCGCATGTTGCTGGAGGGTGGCAGCACGGTGTAGGAGCTGTTGCTGGGGAAGGTGACTGTGGGCGCATTGTCATTCTCATCCATCACGAAGAGGGACACAGTGGCGGTGGCAGAACGTGGGGGCTCACCTCCATCCACTGCTTTCACCTTAAAAGTGTAGCTGGTCTGCTGCTCCCGGTCAAAAGAGACGGTGGAAAAAATGGTCCCAGTGTCGTTCTCAATGGAGAAGATGCTGGCTGTCTGATCAAGGTCTCCGGGTTGGATGGAGAGGCTGAGCTCAGCATTGCGGCCCTTGTCGAAGTCCATCACAGTCACCATGCCCACGGGGCTGTTGGGCTGCAGATTCTCCTTCACATAGAAAGTGAACACATCCTGCATGAAGCGTGGCTCATTGTCGTTACGATCTGCTACGCGCACCACCACCATGGTGGAGCCCTGCAGTGACGGCACCCCCTTGTCCCGGGCCATCACCTGGAACTCATAGGTGTCGCGTTGCTCGCGGTCCAGCACAGCCTGCACCGACACGTCCCCAGAATCAGGGTCGATGGTGAAGATGCTGCCTGGTGCCTCTGAGGAGAGGGGTGAGGCCTCCAGGGAGTAGGTGATCTCGGCGTTCTTACCACTGTCTGCATCTGTGGCGACCACCGTGGCCACCCTCTCTCCAGGCAAGTTGTTCTCCGGGAAGGAGACCTCCAGCACGGCCTGGCTGAAAACAGGAGGATTATCGTTAGTGTCCCCGACCCGCACCAGCAAGGAGTTGTTGCTGGACAAGCTGGGGCTGCCTGAGTCCACAGCCACGATCACCACGTTGTAGTCACGGACAGCCTCGTAGTCCAGAGGGGCTGAGGTGTGGAGGAAATACTTGCGCTTGTTCTGCGGCTCCCCTTCACCCTCACTGGCTGGCTTCAACTGGAAGGGCACATCACCCACCACAGTGCAGGTCACCACACCATTTTCACCCTGGTCCCGGTCCGACACCTGCACCAGGGCAATGGGAGTATCCACCAGCACATCCTCGGCCACGCTAGCTACCCCGTCTCGGAGCGGGATGCGCCCGATTTTCCGGATGTCGATGGTGGGCACATTGTCGTTCTCGTCACGGATGTTCAGTACCACCGTGGCCTTGTCTGTCTTGGGGGGTTGGCCCCGATCTCGGGCCATGACGGTGAAGCGGAGCTGGTTCACCTCCTCCCGGTCGATGCGGTGCAAGACGCTGAGCCAGCC